TATATATTAATTATTTTTTGTATTTACACATTTTTTCTACGCCAATACAGAAAATAACAAGTTATAATCCCAAATAGTCGGGAGAAAATTGCCGCGTTGCCTTGTGTTGGCGGAGACGACATTGTGCCTGCCGCCTGTTTTCTGAGCCATCCAACTTATACCACTAGACGAAATTAGCTTAATTGGCTCGATATATTGAAAAGCGTGTTGACCAAGGTGAATGACCTAATTTGTAGCTAAAAGGCAGTGTATGAGAGATACAATCGAGTTAGCTTTCGTGCTCTAAAAATACCTTCTTCCCAATGACATCTACTCATAATCGTAGGAGCATGTTAAATGCTGGTTAGAAATTAATATTTAAGCCACAGCTGCGTTACTGTTCAGGTACTGTTATGATTTATGTTGTAGGACAAGCCCTGAATTGAAAGATAATACAATCAACTTCAATGAATAAGAGCTAAGGGATGTATCTGATCTATTTTCAAATAAGATTGGTATAAACGGGCCGAAAGACCATAAACAATGCGCAAATAGCACACATTTATACCAACCCTTTCAATTCAGCACAGAGAAGGTTATGCGGAGGTCTCTCATAAAAGGACGGCTCGCAAAGAATATGGAAGTATATTAGATGCGTAGCAATAGGAGTTAATAGTCAGTTAACTGAACGAGCGTGCAACGTTCTGGGAAGCGCTTTAGACTAGGTCCAAGTTCCTAACCTAATCTCGGTGAACACGAAATGATGAAAGACCAAGATATTATTGCCGAAGGTTAGCTTGCAATCTCCTTTAGCTGTATAATGTCGGTTTGACCTCGCATTCGCAACCTGGTCGAATCGAGAGGGAGACTTTGTGATAGGCCTTTTGCCATAGTCATCGTGATAATTTCCATCATTAGACCATTGAAAGTTTTATCTTATCAAAATTATCAAAGTTGTCAATTTATCCCGCGCCAATGATGGTGACTCTCACTCATGCTGCGGATGAAGCGTCTGAGAATATACAAAGCCCACGATCCGATGTCGGAAATTATCATAAATATTATAGCAGAGGACATAGAAATATGTATGTCCCATAGGACTCGATCAAATAGCTAAAACGATACTAAGTTGACGCCTCTCCTATCAGACAATATTTTGTTACGCTCTAGCACTAAGCTAAGGCAATGTGAAAAAGCCATTCCTCGTTGCAGCATAAATCATCAAAAATACTAGATAAATATCCTTAAACGAAAGCCTCTATCTATGATCGAGTCGAACGAAGGTAAGTTAGTATATTCATCTATACTCTTGAGGTGCATTGGGTAAATGAAGTATCTCCGGTTAAAATGTGGATAATACTAAGTCTTGGTCCAGAAAACGAAAGGCAGCTGTTAAATACGTTTAATTTAGCAACAATTCCAACAAGAAATATGTGTCATCAGCAAAAATCTCTTGCCACTGCCAGAAACATATTTCCACCATAAAATAAACGGATTTTGGGATAATCTTTTGATTGAACGATTAGAGTCGGTTTGAAACCACTAACTTGATATATTAAAAGATTATGTACAGGTTTGAAAAATACTTACGAAGGCATGCCTGCAAAATGACAGGCCATAAGAATGCATAAATAAAGTTGTCATGAAAAAAGGCTTAACAATACTCAATTTTTTCTGTATACAGACAAAGAATGGGGTTTGCACGTCGACCCGAAAAATGCATGCTTATTAGTAGAATAAATTCAATTAAAACTTCGAAGGTCTTCGGTCAGGGAGAATACTCGAATTCTCTTTTGCCATCAGAAGATCTAACCAAAGATACCTGTCTATAGCGTTGCATAAAGTCACGGACAGTTTCAAGGTTGATACCTAAATAAAGAGAGAAAATGAGGGTAATTAACCGTGCAGGCGAATATGGAAAAAGCTAACGAATAAAAATACGAAGCTTTGGCAAATGAGGTTGATTATTCAATGATGAATCGAATGATTTATGTTGCTATTGTCGTGTATTCCGAAATTGCATTTTTCTTGAGAGGAGATTGAAGTATGCATGCCATATAGGTAAGATCGAAACCACATTTAAGATTTCTGACCATCTATTTCGCTGGTTTGCCAGAATAAGTAGAGAATGCTCTGTGGGATATGGATAGAGAACCAATATAATTTAATATATATGATAAAGCTTACGTGTATCAAAATGCAGGCAGTATGACTGCGCAAGCAAATGTAAAATCAAACCAATATAACTAAATTGATTTTATCGAGCCCAAAATAGCACAATAAATGTATGGTTGTAGCGAAGTTCCATAAGCTAAACCGAAAACTTTCGAAAATGTATTCGCTCCTGCGAGTAAATCCGAGAGCATGTCAAGCCATTTTCGTTTACCGTAAATTACTGCTAATTGATATGCATCCCCAAGTAGGAGTGCATATTTTAAACCCGATTTTGGAGTTTCGAATAATAAGGAGATAAAGGAAAGTAAAGGATGAATTAGCTGGTAAAGTTTGTAATCCTAAACTAGAATTATGAATAGGCCATTTAGTTGTCAAGGCCTCGAGTAAAGATACACTACCCAATACTAGTCTAACACTCTAAAAGAGTAGATCTTAGCGGCATGAGAGGAGTCAATTAACTAATTATGAGACGTTTTGTACTGCATAAGTCCTCAGAACTTTTATATTCAATGATGACTACGCGCTCGCAGGCCAGGTCATAAACCTGAAACTAAAAGTACAACTTTCATCAACACTCGTTCGAAATGCCAAGTGATAGTCACACAGTTGCACAAGAAATATCGGAATATGGAATCAATAAGTAAAAAAGATTCTAGACACCATACACATGGAATCCAAAGAGTTTGCTCTATTAATTGCTTCACCCAGCTTTTTTCACTATCCCTGATGCACTGAATACCGTTTAATGGGTCCTATCCCTTAAATTACATGGATGTGGTAAGTAAAGCTCGAGTGTTTGAATTTGCGACGTCACCATCTATGTCTTCATATTTAGAATAAAGCGGTCAAGATAAATCAATCGAATAATTTAGATCAGAATATGATAAATTATGCCTATGCTTTACAACAGGAGATTATAAGCCATCCCAATGAATGTCGGCTTGCTCATATTTTCAGAATTAAACCGTACCGTGCTGAAGGATCAGGTCAAGAAAGGCCTGGGGCACTAAAAGCTCCTGCTGAGCAACGTCTCTTTGCCCAAAGACAATAGAAACAGCAGTCGGTTCGCGATGCTGTATTGGACTGATGGCAGAGTCGGGCTGGTTTGTTGACAAGCGGTGTGCAAAGTCGAGGAGATTAACCGTTAGATCCCCGCTTGGGGAAGGCTAAAAAGATGATAAGATATCAAAAAGAAAAATTAAAAAACAGCAATCGTAAGAGGCCAGTGAGTTAAGGAATACGATGCAAATTAACAATCTTTTACCTTAAGCTACCTAGTGATTCTAATACCATCCACTTTCCTTTAAATGTCGCCAAGAAGCAAATAACACGATTTTTAAACTATTTTCAGCCGAATTAAGATATAGAGCAGGATGAGAGAATACTAAAATATGAATG